ATCATCAGTGGATCATCTTGGGGATCGGGGGTCATGTGTTATATGTGTTGGCAATTATAGAAACGAAGGTATATTTCCTATCATCCCCCGAGGGCCATTTTCAAGGGCCGTGACATGCCTTTCTCGTTTTGTGTCCAGGTCAACTCGGCGAGTGGGTGAAGCATTGTAGTTTGCATTTCTTTTCGCGTGTCCGAAAACAACGATGGACGAAGTGCAGATTCCCGCATAGATAGAGTCAGGTGTTCTCAATGAACCGAACTGTGGTATATATGCATTAGCTACATAATGGTAATTCATGTGAAAGGACATCTGGAGCCGTCTATGTGCGCATTGTTCTCATGTTTCGTGATAGCGTGCAAATTGTTCTGATATATGGCGTATCAAAGTTCTGCCGGGCGGTATGGGGCGCCAAGCCCTTAGCGAGTCCTACTCCTTCCGCCCACACGAATTCGAAAACTTCAACGCGCATACTAACCCAGCAGTTCGACAACACCACACGACATTCTCAGTCTTCAGTCAAGATGGGAATTGATCTCGACCGCCATCATGTTCGAGACGGGCACCGCAGTATGTGTACTTCCCCGTCGAGTCGGCGCAGCAATGCGCCGGCGAGCCGCTGTCCTCAGGACGCAACATGAACACCGCGAGAGGAGGAATTGACGAGTATACAGAGGTCGCTAAGTCTACCAACCCCTATGTGAAGCTGTTGGTCCGCCTCTACAAGTTTTTGGCCCGTAAGTATTTCTGGAGAATGTGCGGGGTGGAGTGCGCTGACAATATCCAGGCCGTACCGATGCTCCCTTCAACAAGGTCGTCCTCCGCCGCCTCTTGATGTCCAAGATCAACCGCCCGCGTAAGAAGACCGATGCCCAACGTACACGGGGATCGCTAACAAATAGATAGCGGTCAGCTTGTCCAAGATCGTCGCGAGTGCCGCCAACGAGCACACCAAGAAGGCCCACGAGGGCAAGACCGTTGTCGTTGTACGTAGCCCGCTCGTGTCCGTTGCTACAAATGGGATGCTAACAACAGCATAGATCGGCACTGTCACCGACGACAACCGTCTTTTGGGTATGCACACCACTCTAGCTTTCTCAAGATCCCCGCTAACAACAGCAGAACTTCCCAAGCTCTCCGTTGCCGCCATCCGTTTCACCGCCACTGCCCGTGCCCGCATCGAGAAGGCCGGCGGTGAGACCCTCACCATTGACGAGGTCGCCACCCGTTTCCCTACCGGCGCCAACACGCTTCTCCTCCGCGGTGCCAAGAACTCCCGTGAGGCCGTCAAGCATTTCGGCTTCGGTCCCCACTCCAACAAGAAGCCCTATGTACAGAGCAAGGGCCGCAAGTTCGAGCGCGCTCGTGGACGCAGAAGGTCCCGTGGTTTCAAGGTGTAAGCGATACTTTGAGGAAGCGCTGTTTCTTTGGGTCCTCGGCGTGGGCATGGCCATGGGTTTTCGTAAAAGGCGTGCATCATGTCTGGCTGGGCTCGTGCTCTTTATGGGTCGGATGAAAATAACTCTCAAGATCGATTATGCAATGAAGGCACACCATGGGCGCTTCGGGCTCATCGGATGATTCGATGAATGCTGTCTCGTTTTACAAGTGTAATACAGAATGCAGAATGTGATACGTCGATGGAAAACTTTGCTCATACAATTCGTCAAGTTCAAGATCCACTCAGTCCACCTTGTATTGCGAAACAACCGTGAAATATCACCTTCGGTTCCACGAGTCAGGAAATACTATACTCAGACGAGTGGAATTCTGATACATCTTAACACGCCGAGTGCAGATTTAAAGTAGTCCGAGGTAATTACTGTGAACTCTATATTAACATAAATGTGAGCACCATAGACATAAAACGCAGAAGCCTTTTCATGTTCTCACTATATAACAACTGTCGCTTAGTTGAGATTTCAATATGTTGGGCAAGAATTTGGTACCATGATGCACTAAAATTTTCACGTCAACCTGCTCCCACAGCACGCCAAACAACCTTGACTCCGCCCACTTACCAAACCCCACACCTCCCAAATCTCTCACAAAATGGTCGACACGCGCAAAGTCGGCGTCCTCGGAGGCGGCCAACTCGGTCGCATGCTGATCGCGGCTGCGAACAACCTCAATATCCAGGTGAACGTACTCGACGCCGCAAATTCCCCAGCAAAGCAAGTCTCTGCGCATGACGGCCATATCGAAGGCTCCTTCAAGGATGCCGCCGCAGTCAAAAAGCTAGCGCAATCTTGCGATGTCGTCACCGTAGAAATTGAGCACGTGGACACGCATATGCTGGAAGAGGTAGCGGGGCAAGTTAGCGTCGAGCCTTCGTGGAAAACTTTACGCACGATCAAAGATAAATACGCACAGAAGCTATATTTGAAAGAGCATGGAGTGGCTGTCGCTGAGAGTGTGGACCTGGAAGGAAAAGGGGTGGAGGGTCTGAAGGACGTGGGGAGGACGTTTGGGTATCCGTATATGCTGAAGAGCAAGACGGAGGCGTATGATGGGCGAGGGAATTTTGTAGTCAAAAGCGAGGAAAGTGTGGAAGAGGCATTTGAGGTTTTGGGGAAGAGGCCACTATATGCCGAGAAGTGGGCGGAGTTCAGAATGGAGCTTGCGGTCATGGTGGTCAAGACAAAGGATGGGGTGTTGACGTTTCCAACGGTAGAGACGGTGCATGAGGACTCGATTTGCAAACTCACGTATGCGCCGCCGCGGAACGTCAACAAGAAGACGGCACAGAGGGCTCAGGAACTAGCTAAGAAGGCTATTGAGCCGTTCGAGGGAAAGGGCGTGTTTGGAGTGGAGATGTTCTTGCTCAAGGACAACAGTCTGCTCATCAATGAAATCGCGCCGCGGCCACACAAGTAAGCAAGACCAGTGTACAAAGGATATGAAGACATACACTGACTTCCCAACCCAACTTTTAGCTCAGGACATTATACCATAGAGGCGTGTGAACGCTCACAGTACGAAGCACACCTTTGTGCCATCCTCGACCTACCCATCGACCAATCCGAACTCGGTCTCATCCGGCCCTCAATTATGCTCAATATTCTCGGTGGCCAGGATACGGATTCGCACAGGAAGATCGCAGAGAAAGCATTCGCACTCCGTATCGGCGCAAAGGTCCATCTCTATGGAAAAGGCGATGCCCGTCCGGGGCGCAAAATGGGTCACGTTACTATCACGAAGCGCACACTCGCCGAAGCCGAAGTCAAGATCCAACCTCTTGTCGACTTCGTAGACCAGATGAAGGGCAAGGAAATCGTACCCCATCCGGAGCACAAACCAGAACCCTTGGTTGCCGTCATTATGGGCTCCGACTCCGACCTCCCCGTCCTGAAAGCGGGCCTCGAGATACTACAAAAGCTCCAGATCCCCTTCACCACCCGCATAACCTCCGCACACCGAACCCCAGACTGGCTCCGCGAGTTCTCGAAATCTGCCGCCGACACCAGTGTCCGCGTAATCATCGGTGCAGCGGGCGGTGCCGCTCACCTCCCCGGTATGTGCGCGTCATGGACCACTCTTCCCGTTATCGGGCTGCCAGTGAAGGCCACGCATCTCGACGGTCTGGACAGTCTCTGGAGTATGACACAGATGCCGAGGGGCGAGCCCGTGGGCACAGTCGGGATCAACAATTCGACAAATGCGGCGTTGTTGGCGGTGAGGATTCTAGGGGCGAGTGATGAGGTGGTGATGGAGAGGTTGAGGGTGTGGATGGAGGGGAATGAACACGAGGTCTTGCGTAAGGATGCTGAGTTACTAGACAAGGGCTACGAGGTGTATCTCGAGGGAATGGGGAAGAAATAGGATGTGGTGGTCGGGACTAAACATCACCTTAGATGAGGATGACATGGAAAAGGCTGGAATTTGTTCTAGAGTTTTGAAAAGCTCTAGGAATCTGTATTCAACTTTCAAACAGTTTACTTGTCCATTATTCCTCGACAGCTACTCCCATTTTCAGTGCTTGGCTAAACTGCCCAAGGCGTACACCGGCACTTAGTCCTGTCGATACTCCTCCCCATTATCATATAGTCTCAGTCCAGTCTCTTCAGCAGTCGTTCCAGGCAACGGAAAATCATTTCCAGTTCGCTCCGCACTGCATATCTGCAAGCCACTTCCGGAAATCTTCGAACTTGTACACACGCCGTTCGGGACCGAAGCGTTTTAGGACATGGACATGATTGATCTAACTTACTCGATGACTTATATGCACATCATCGTTCAGATAGGCGGCCCTCGCAAATGTTCAACTCTCATGTCAATTCTGCATAGTCCTTTTAGATAGTGCATGTGACATTCGGTTTAGATTGACCTAGAAGACGCGACTAGAAAACGAAGATCCTCGCACTCTTACTCTAATTACAAGGTGGTAGTCATGGCTAGTAAGTTGAAGTCTGTAGATTTGAACAATCCACCTTCTCTATACAGATCGCCTCGCGTTCACCCAGAAGGTCTTCCGGAAGGTATGCGAATGAACCTAATGTGCACAATCTTTCAAGTCAACCCCCTGAAGGTCAAATTTTCATTCAAACTGTCCAAGTTCAGCGTCGGTGGTGAGTTTCACTACTCCTGTTCTAACTTTTATTGATAATGCGCGTCGCGCGTAATTCTGCTAGCATAAGGTGATGGCATAATATCTCGTGTGTTTTCCATTTCAGGAAGCCGTTTCGATGGCCATGGCAGATGGAAGCAAGAGGGGTTTGGCATCTCTGTATGGTCACGTCCCGGAGAAGCTTGGAAGACAATAATGATGAGTCTTGTGTCGTTTGCTTCACACAACACGCACGATTTCAATAGTGCTTCAAGAATGGTGTTAGAAGACAATAATAGATAGTTAGGCTTCGTCTTTTGATGATCCTCGCCACTTTGCCAAGGCACAACTCCAAAAAAAGATCGCACCATCCCACATTGACTCCTAGAAGGGAAAATCCTCATTAAATCTGAAGCCAAAAAAGATTGCTGCAAAATGCAAAAAAGAAAGTTTCTAGCGACGCCCACAGGATTCGAACCTGTGCTCCCGAAGGAATAAGATTTCTAGTCTTACGCAATAACCACTCTGCCAGAGCGCCATAGGATGCTGTTCCTTGATGATATTCTTCAGAATTAAGAAGTATATATCTGTATTATTTTGTTGATTCAGCGAGAGAGTGTCAACAAAAGATGAGACTAGGTCTTGGAGAGTGACAGGGATTCGTGGGTCATGGGTCAAAATGGCGATTGGTCCAATTTGGCCCCATATATACGACTCCTGGACAAGCATCATTCGCCCCACCGCTCAGCTCGAACTTGAACACGATATCTTGCGGGTGCTACTGTACGCATTGTCCTGCTCATCGGATGCCATGTCCGCCACGAATTCGTATGCTTCCTGCAGTAATGCAATGTCACATCCTAAGCCGTGTCGTATTTGTAGCCTGATGGTAGGAGACAAACACGAGCGCCCCGAAGATCTAGGCACTCGGTGAAGTGTAAATGCGCAGTATGCTTTGCGGTTTCACACGCTGCACCTTCAAGCTAGCCCAGCCTTATAGAGCAGAAGTCTAGGACGATGACGGAACATTATAGCAACTACCTTCGAATAGTCTGATTCCAACCACCACATGTCTATAACGGGTCTATAATACGTTAGTATACCTTCGAGTCCAATCACTAAAGCACGGAAGTTTACTACTTGCGGTTGTATCCAGAAACACCTCGCACGTCACATTGTCAACCCTGGTGGGATAAACGTCACATATCCGCTATTAGGACATCGAATCGGCCTGGACTGGACATGAGATTATCGAAAATGCATTACATCCGTACAGCGTATCCAACAGTCACATCGAGGTAGCTCGAGCGAACCTTTCAAAATTCCTGCCAACCCTAGTGTACATTGACACCCACGAGTCCCGCAACTGCTCTTACCAGCAAGCGTTTGATTAGAACGACGCATTCGGATTTTCCGACTCTAACCTACATTTGGGACAGGATGATATCCCTGCACTTGGGCGTTACCTGCTGGAGCGTCGCCTCGAAAATTATGCGCCGTTGCTTATAAGCTTCGCAGGAGGTGATCTTCGAGTCAGTCATTGTCATTGAAGTTGATGATGAACGCCGTCTTCCGTTCGAGTCGATATCAAGATGTCTCTTCGCAAGCGCGTGCGGAACAAGGTGGGATCTCGCCAAATTATTCCAAAACGCTCGATGGTGGTACTTTTCAATATGTAAGTCCCTTGAATCTTCTTACTCTCTAACAGGCGCTTACTTTATTAAGTCACGTATATAGCTTGGAAGGGGTTCTGCTCTCAAATGTATGATGTTACCAAATCAGGCATCGCAGGACGGAGAGGAGATACATGGTCATTTGTATACGTTTTCTCGAAGTTCTAGCGTTCTCTTTAGGCCAGACAAACCCTAGTAAAAGAGTTCTGGGATATACGCCGAGGACATCACAACGAATATTTCGACGAGAGTGACGCTGAGAAGCTAAAAGCCAATACTTCCTACCGTATTCGGCTAACACACGTTTCCCAAGAAGACTATCGATTGTTGCGTGGAAACTATTCTGCATATACTCATTGTTGGTGTGACGAAAAGGCCACGAGCGGACGATATATTGAAGATGCTTAAACGCGTTTCAGACTACGTTAGTCTTGCTAGAGTAACCAGTGGGATTCTGCTAGATTGTCTACTCGAGCATCCGTCTCCCCTTGCGCCGCATCCTACTATCTCACATATGCTTTATATTCCATCTATTAGATATTTTAACTCGGCAGGAGTACAAGAACTACTTGATACCAGGATTGTAGATCTAACACAAGCATCCCTCAATATATCAGTAGGAACTCCAGAGAATCTGCCACAAGCTATCCAATTTCCGAATCGCAAGTGCAGAATCGTAAAGACAGCTTATTGTATCCTGAAAGTGCTCGTACCCTCCAAAATGAGCCAGTCTCGGTCTTGGTATACTAGATCCTAGTAAAGAAGCTGACCTCAATCGACGAGCTTTGAGAGGGTCCGGCAAAGATATAGATGGAGTGGTCATCCATCCAAAAATGGCACGAACAGCCAAGGCTACCGAGTAGACTTGAAAAGCGAAAAGGCATTTCCGCATGCTTGCGCTCTGTTAGAACGAGCGTCGTGTATCTCACGGAATTGAATGGTACCAATCATGGAATAAGGACTTATTCGTAGTCTCTTACTTAAGATCGAGTAAATCCTTAGTAACTTTCAAGCAGCATTCATTCACCACTCGGTGTCGTTTGGGAGTATATTGTTTATAATAGCAATACCCTCGTTGTTTGGGGGTAACTCTTACAGTGCGACAAAACAGGTAATTCTAGTGAACTCTAAACTACTCAAAGTAATATCTTTTCTAATGAGCGAAGATAGGCTCACGTAATGAACGGACTCTCTAATGCACTACTGGATGTGCCCATGTGTACATGTCTAGCCCCTCTACTCACGGTTGCTGCTTCCAAGCGTGGTTCTCTTGCTTTTGTTTGCGGTAAGTTGATTTACTATTCCGTCATCATGTCCCTCACAACTATCAAATGCGTGCCAGGTTCGGATGATCTGGAGATTGTGGTGTGTGGGGGTAAGGGTCATGTTGGATGTTGATATGGGAGGGGGTCTGCTACACCACGCAAGGTCAATCGTTGCATTGCAAGTATTGTCAAGTGCAGGTTCGAAACAAAGGTGATGACTTGTTATTGAACAGGACACCCCGCATCCGTCCTCTCCTTGATCCAATTCGCCACCGACGACGGAAAAGGTGCCTCTTTAGCGGTTTGATTCGCCTTCTCCTTCCTACCTTCATCGTCCTGTCTTAAACGACTAAACATCTTCGTCAAGCCGTCCTCCCCGCCATAATATCTCTCGAGCCAGATTTCCACAGCTTTCCCCTCGAACTTTGCCCTCTCCAATAACCACCAGAGATCGCCCCCTTCTAACTTGCGGAACCACCAAAGCAGCAAAAGCAACGCTCTCGGATCCTTGATCTCAAGAGCGTTCTTAAACTCCGGTGGGATGAACGCCATGAACATCAGGAACTCGACGACGTTATCATGAGTAAGCGTGACACCGTGCAGTCGAGAGAGTAGAATGATAGGAAAGTAGTATACGTTATTCTGGGGTGTGGACTGAGACGTTATGTTGAAGAGGCTTTTGAGGTGGGCAGGGAGGAAGGAGAGGTCGGGCCTGACGAGCCATTCTGGGGATCGGGAATGTCGGTTCATTTTTCGTGCGATGCCGTGGAAGATGGAGTCTGGCCGTGTGGGGTTTGCGACTTGCCAGATTGCTTTCTTGCCTTCGCTTAGCTTGAGCCAGTCGAGATCGGTGGGTTCCGATGGCTTGAGTGGCCATGCTGCTTCCGCACCTGAAGCTTCAACGTATGCGAAACTGGCGGCCCCGAGCAGGGCGCCTGTTGCCCATACTGCATCCCGAGAGGATGGTGGTATGGGTTTTGATAGTACGTTGTTGAATAATTTGGTAGCTGTGTTCCAGTGTTGTAGTGAGGCGTGGTGGTATTTACCACCTAGTTCTTCATTATATGGGGTGGCGAGGTATGCGTCGTGCATCAGCGTTAGGCTGAGTACCATGTGCATGAGGAATGGGTGCTAAAATTGCGTCAGTGATGTTCACCGATGATCTAGAAGTCATATAAAACGGATGCAATGCTCTCACATTGCTGGACGCAACTCACGTAAAAGGTCAGATGCGATATGCAGTCCCGATACGTCGGCGCCGTTTGACTGTTGCCAATTGTCATGACTGTACGTTCCTGGAATCTTTTCAAGATTTCAAGGTGCTCCTCCGTAAAGGTCCAGAAAGAGAGCTTATTGAATGAATGATAGGCACTTCCTTCAAGCGATGGACCCACATCTGGCAAGCTGGGATTCATAGATGCATTTACCATGGAGGCCATCGTCTTGTTGATGGAGACAGGCGATTTCTGCGGCGCTGTGGAGAAGTCGATGATCTTTTCTGTGGATGATGGCTGAAAGAGGTCTACTTGGAAAGATCCTTGGGCTGCTAGATCCAACGACGGTTTCGAGCCGTCGTAGTCGCACGAAACGCCATATGCAAGACATTTCCGACATCGAGGTCTCGTTTCGTCACATTTTACCCTCCTGAGCTTGCAATTCCCACATCCTTTTCGAGATTTGGCGTGAGCCCTTCTTTTCCGATCAGGACCATCTTGGAATCTTGACACGACAGCAGGCATAGCTCTAACAAGTAGGTGTTGGCAGAAGGATTGGCCGAATCGATCAGCGAGTACGCGTCCACGGCGTAGCAGAGCACTAACGTAGACTCGTATAGCGCGCCTAAACAGGAAAGGTGATGGGGCCTTCTTCAGTTCTGGTTCCAGAACCGTGTGACGCGATTGTATGGGGTATCTGGATGGATGCGAGGAAATGTATCCAGAGGTTCCGCCATCAGAGAGCTTAGGATACATCCGAATACACGCTAGACGTGTGCGCTAACGCGATGTCGTATTTACGGCGCTCCTGCGTCTCTGATTCGTCAGGTTCCGGGCGGCCCCCAACGACAGATTGTGAAGCAAGGCCCAGCGCCGTGTACGGAATTGGGTGGTAACCTTCTGGAAAATCGGCCTATAATAGATGGAGGGCTGGGGTAAGGTGTAGTCGGAGACTGCGCTCCCTTCGTATATCGTACGCCAACGTCCGGCCTGAAACCGGGGCTGTCAGTATATCAGCGTAACCAAAGGAGACCTTGTTCAATTAGTATAGGCACGAGATTGTGTGTAAGTAACCAGGTAAAAGCAAACGTCATAGGCTTGCAGTATGTACATTGTTCTGAGTACATACATATTTATGTAGGCTCAAAGTAAACATCACGTGACCATATCGTTGACGTGATTCAGACGGCAGCAGAACGATGGGAGAAGAACAGCCTGTATCTCGGAAGTTTGCGCGGCTTGAAGACGTTTACAATGGAGGAAGGTGACTCCGCACATAACATCAGATACATGGCAGGCGCATCACACAAGCGACCTACATCTCACTTAACTCACTCACTACTACATCACACACGGAGGCCCGGCACAGTTGAACAGTTTCAGTAT